TAAAAAACTATAATACATAAAATAATCTTAAGTGTTATACCAATTAAATAAATAAATAAAAAATATTATACTATAGCGCCACTTATTGACAATAATAATAATTGTCAACGGAAACAAAATAAATAATGCGATATCCAATCTCTTGCGTTTCTTTTTACTATTGTGTACAAGTACGTATAATCATTTGGTATATATACTCGTACACAAGTAAAATTCTGTTATGAGTGCGTAATCTATATAATAATATGAGTATAGGTGTACTCAAAATATTTTATTTTTAAATTAGACGCATCAAATAATTGATTTGACAGTTTAACATTAATTTTTTTTTTTTATTTTATAAATTTAAAATCTCATTGTCACTTTTTTCTTAAGCTTAATTATAAAAGCTTATTAAGTATACTCTCATACTATACTCTCATATTCTGAAGAGGAAAATTAAATATAAGAATTAATAATATAAGAGTTTTTATGCCAAGATAATTTAGAATTATAAGTACTTTAAGTTGTCTAAAAAAAATTAATAGAATCTATAAGAATTTTTAGGAAAGAAAAATTTATGGCTGGAATATAATTTTTTTTACTTACTAATAATAAATAGAGAGAGGAAGCATTATACAAATAGAACGTATAAAATTGTATTTTACCGATTTAATTAAGAGCAATACTTTTATTCTCTTTCAATTACACCCTTCTCTCTAATCAAAGTACACGATATGGAATTTGCTCTATTCTCGCGATACTATAAAAAATACCCTTACAACTTATACCCTGATATCTAATTAGTATAATTATAATTTGAGCAACAGCAATTTATAATCACACAAATCTGAACATAATATTGAGTCCAAAACTCTAAAATCTAAATAAATTATTTAATCAAAAAAGGCAGAACATTTAAAATTTTTTTTTAAACATTACTTCAATTTCCAAATATTATAATATGCGTGTATATCATTAAATTTATATGCTAAAATTTAACAAATTATTTGATATCAAGTACATTGAACCTCATAAAATATTTAGTCTACATTATTATATTTAGTTAGCAGCAGAGCAAAATATTTTATATATGGTTATGCTTCTGATAACTAAGCATAATATTAAATTAAACTTATGTTTTTGATAAATTTCGAATTTTATTAACAAAAAAAAAAATGTGAAATTTTTATTACACAATTGAATACAAATAAAAATAGCATTAAAGGCAAAATAATTTACTTTATTTTAGATATAAGATATTTAATAATAATAACGAAAAAATAAGCATATATAAAAAGTTATCACTATTGGGGGCAAAAAATTCGTAAATTTAATTGTTGAATTTGAAAAAAAAATTACCGGAATCTTATATTTAATGTCATTATATTATGTGATAATGGTAATCACTCCACGACGAATATATTTTTATCTTGCAACCAGAATGAAGGACCGCTTTTTGAATTTGAATATGGGCTATACGCTGGTCCATGGGCAGCACTCTGCCAACGACTATTCTATAATATTATATTCTGATACACAAATTAATTGTGTATACATTCCATTTTCAAGTTGAACACCAACAACACAAGCAAGTCTTTAAATATAAAATTAATGTTTCTTTTTTATAAAAATAAATTCAATTTATTTTTAAACTCGCTTCGATACAAAACGAATTTTTCGAAAATTATTGCACTTTCTGAGAAAATGATTGCGATTTCGCCTCGAATCAGACATTTGAGGTTGAAAGTGCAATAATATTAAAACTTATTCTGCGAACCATACCTTAAAATTTTGAAATTTTTTACAACATAAACAAAATTTCTATAACAATAAAATTTTCCATAATAGGAAAAATTTTCCATAAAAATTTCTTAAATTATTATTTTTTTTTCCTTTAACAATTAATAAAATAATAATTTTTTTTTTATATAATTTCAGGACAATAAAACATTTTAGTATTTCATTAGTAATTGCTATAGTGTTATAATAAAAAAAAACAGAGATTATATGAAACAAATATAGAAGGATGGTGTTTAAAAATCAAATTGATAGTAATACACAAAAAGCTGAAAATGTTTTATCATCATTTTTACAAATGGCAGATAATAAGAAATGTCTAGCAAATTCAAAAAGTATCACAAAATGTAAACAAAATTCTGTGTTTTGTAAGTGTTATCAAAAATTTTCAATTAATTTTTAATTAATTTTTTATACCCTGCACTTCGTGAGGGTCATCTGCGGTATGGACCTATATATATATTCTTGCTCAGGTAAAATTCTGCGTTGATTTAGACATGTCCGTCCGTACGTCCGTCCGATCGCACGATAACTCAAAAACGAATAATGCAATCGACACCAAACTTTCACAAGTTGCTTCTTTTGTGCCAAGGACGAACCCTATTGTTATTGGACCAATTCGGACAACGGGTTCGGGTAGCTGCCATACAACTCAAAGAGTTTATTTTAAATATTTCAAAAACTAATAAAGGTACAAATATAAAAATTGGTATACATGTGTCCAATTATATTCTACATATGCTCTAAAAATTTTAATGAGATAGCTGCTATGAGATAGCAGATATATTTCTGAAGTTTTGGTGGAATTGCTTAACAGGTTCGAGTGGCTCCCATACAAGTCCAAAAGCTTATTTTAAATATTTGGAAAAGTAATAAAGTTAGATTCATGAAACTTGGCAGTTGTGTGTCCAATTATAGATCAGATATATTAGCGAAGTTTTAGTGGAATTGCTTGGCAGGTTCGGGTACCTGCCATACAACTCCAAAGCTAATTTTAAATAATTAGAAAAATAATAAAGTCAGATTCATGAAACTTGGTAGTTGTGTGTTCAGTTATAGGCCAGACATATCCGTGAAGTTTCTATAGAATGTTTTCACAGGTTTGAGTAATTGCTATACAACAATGAAAGGTGCAGGGTATAATTCAATCGGTTCATAGCGACTGAAACGTTTTTACTTGTTTATATTTAATTTAATAAATTCAATAACAATATTTATTAATTTTAGAAATTCTCAATATTAATGAATTTTAGAAATTCTTTTAAAAATAATTTATTTTCCGGGCTAATTATAATGCTCTTGTGAGCTATTTCGTGAAACAAATTAAACTCAAATAGTTTCTCTTCAATTCTCCATCATAGTAGGCGCGTATTTTTACAATACTATTGATAAAGAGTCACTGAATTAATTTAATTAGTAGTATATAGCCGCAAAAGGAACAGGCAGCGTGCATATTCTTAATCACGTTTTTATTATACAATTAAAAATTATTAAAAACAATAGATTTAAAATTTTCAGTCTCATATGATATTTCTTATTTGCATATTTCTATTCTTAATAAATTAAACATAAAAAAAATTATAAAGTTTTTATATCGCAAAATCATAATTACTATTTTGTAACATGCAATTAAACAGTAAACAAGATTGAAAATTAATCGTAATTAATAAGAAAAAATTTATTCTTTAGAAACTAGTATTTATTAAATTTTTTATGCAGTAAGTCTCTTTGATTTATGCTACTAGTCTACATATTTAATATCCTTAAAAACTTGAATAACCAGTTACATATACATTAATTATATCTCAAAGACCAGAAGGAATTATAATTTCCCGAGCATAATTTTTAAAAGGAAGTTTATGTTTTAAATTAAATAAACTTAACATAGAGCAAACTTCCATAAAATTTAATTATTTCCTTAAAATGCCAAAGGTCTAACATAAATTGTATTTGCTTTTAAATTCGTAATTTGAAAAAAAAAATCTCATAATAATATCCGGCTTTTCAAAGTAAAAGATTGAGAGCTTTTATAATTTTCAATATTTTAAACAATTTTATATTTTAATAATTACAATTTATTGAAATTACCGTTGAAAATTAATATTTTTGCTTTATTCACAATTCAAAATAAGAAGTAAAAATTATGAAACAAATTATCGTTTTCATAACCTAAAATAAATTTTTGGGCAAAAAAATAGGCATGAAATGGAGCTAATTAGAAAATGAAAGTCTTAAATTCCATTTGAACTAAAACAAAAATTTTTGTAGTTTTCTTAGAGTCTAATCGTCTATCTCGCTATTTTACTCGCCAAGTGAGAAGAAGTGGGTAAATATCATATATTTGTGTAATTTAATTTGAGGCGCTCAGCGCTTTAGTGGCCTACTTGAAAAAATGACATTTCGAGTAAATTGAGATTGAAATATTTAAATATTAAATTTTTAAGAAAATTTTTAAAAAGCAAAAACAAACTTATGTTAAAATAGAGTGAAAAGAGTAGTAAATTATTTTGAAAATATAAAACAATTCTTTAGGCCATTACAGCTCTATTGAATATAATAACTAATTTTTGCAAAAATGTTGGTTATAAGCCTCTAATGCGCTGAGCGGCTCATTCTGGAGTGAGAAGAATTATTTCATATTGCGTATCTCATTTTCTCTTAAATGTATACAAAATTTTAGTCGCTTTGTTTTTTAAGATGAGACATTTAGTCGATCATTTGAATCAATCTTTAAGAAGCAATCTTATTAGAAAAATTAAATATCCATTAGAAAAACGTAAAATTCTCATTTGAAAGCGAATAAACAGTGAGATAAAAAAGCGAGATACACGAGCCTGAACGTTAATTTTAATAAACTTTTAAATAGAAATTCAAGTATTTGTTTCAAATTTAGTAAAGTCGAACACCAGTACGTAGAATTTAGTTTTGAAAGCAATGACGCTTTTTATTAATTACACCAACCAGAACGTATCGAAATATAAGTTAAATAAATTCCTATTCTAATATTACAAAACAATTAAATTTTAAATAATCAAAAATTTTTATTAATTTTTAAAATTTAATGTTCATTAAAATATATTTTTTTCTTTTCAGGTTTATCATTTAAAGTATTAATAGGAATTTTATCATTACTCTTAGGAATTTTAACAATATTTTATTCATTATATAATTTAGTATTATTGGAACATATACGTTTTAGACCTGGTTTCCCATCATTTCAAATATGGTTTGATAATAATGTTATAATAAGATGTAAAGTACATTTATTTAATTTTACAAATGTTGATGAATTTATGCGTGGTATTGATAAAAAATTAAAAATTAAAGATATTGGTGAAATTGTATTTCATGAACATCAAATTTTAACAAATGTAACAATTAATTCAGAAAATTCAACTTTATCGTATAATATTAAAAGAGAACCAGTATTTATTGAAGATTGGAATAAATTGGGTATTTTAAATGAAACAATAACAGTACCAAATTTACCATTATTATTTATGGCATCATTTTTACATGATTCAAATGCATTTACAAAACTTGGTTTTAATGTGATGAGTAAAAAAGATCCACTATTTGTTAATGTAACAATATATAATTATTTATTTAATTTTACAACACCGGCTCTGGACACAGCAGATAGATATTTTTCATTTTTATTACCAACAAATAATGTTGGGATATTAAAATCGGTTAGTTTTTTCTAAATTCTAAATTAATTTTTATTTTATAATTCAAATTTATTTTTTTTTTTTGTATTTAGGCATATGAGACACAACCACAAGGTGATCATTTCAATATTAATATTGGTGTTGATAATGGTCCAAAGAAATTCTTTAAAACGAACACGTACAATTATCGGACAACTGTTACTGGTTTTGAATTAGAAAATGGTGATTGTGATGCAACAATTGTTAATTCAACTGAAGGCAATATTTATGGTTCATTAATACAAAAAGATGATGTATTATGGTATTGGAGAAAAAGTGTTTGTCGAAGTGTACCATTACATTTTGAAAAAGAAGTTTATGAACATTCTTTCTTGGGTTATAAATTTTTAGCACGTGAAAGTATGTTCGATCGTGAAGAAGATTTGAAAAAAGATTGTTATGCTGGTATGGGACGTAGAATATATCCGAATGGTTTATCAGATGCATCAAAATGTTTTATGGGTAATTTAATTAATAATTTCTTATTAATAATAAAAGAATTAATTATTTATTACAAAATTAATTATTTATTATAGGATTACCAGTTGCATTATCATTACCACATTTTTATGGTCGTGATGGATATTGGAATGATAAAATTGAAGGTTATGAACCATCAAAAGAAGAGCATGCTTCATTTGCAATTGTTGAACCAACACTCGGTATACCATTACATCAGAGAGCAAGAGCACAATGTAATCTTGTTTTACCATCATTATATGGATTCCGTAGTGAAATGAAAACATATTTTAATAATATGGTTATACCATTAATATGGATTGAATACGTAATTATTTTAATTTAATCAATTTACTAATACTTAAATACTTAAATTAGAATTCTCTTAACCCTCAACTGCACAAAACTATTTTTAAATGAGTTTACTTTTATTACAAATATCTATTAATGTAATGAGTTTCTAACTGTTATTTGAAATAATTTTTTATTTTTTAAATAAATTATAATAACTGTATTTATTTTGTTTAATGTTACAGAGTGTCGAAAATTTAACTCCACCAATTTTCATTTTGATGACAATTGCTATAAAAATTCTACCAATTGCTCAACATTTTATTACAATAATATTTATATTAACTGGTTTATATTTAATATATTTAAATTTAAAAAAATATTATAAAAATAAAAAACAATATTTTGAAATTAAATTAGTTAATGATGATAGTTCAAATGTATGTATTAAAGAATTAAATAAATTAAATGAAATAAATGATGTATGTTTAGATTTAGATTCAGATATTGAAGATGAAAAAACAGCTTTGAATAAATTCGAAGATGAAAATTCATAATTTTCAAAATTATAAATATATAAAAATTAATAATAATTAATATATATATATATATAGATATAATAAAATTAATTTAAATTTAAATGTTGTGATTGTAATCTAATATGAAATTTCTAAACCAAAATTATTTTTAATTATTTAAAATTTTATTTTATAATTATATGTAAATAAAAGAGATATACGAGTACGAATACCATTAAATTAGTTATATAATATTTAGTTTTAAAATAAATTTAATAAAAAAAAAACAAAAAGCAAAAAAAAAAAAAAACAAAAATGTATTATTAGGGTAATTAAAAATGAATGTTTTTTTATAATTTTACATATTGTTAAAAATTAAAAAAACATTAAAAAAATTTTAATATTATGTAATTTTAAGTATAAGAAGATTGAAATGGGGGGTTTTTTTATATATACAAGCTTTATATTTTATATACTCTGCGTATTTTATATTTAATTTAAAATTATATTTTGTTATTTTTTGAAAAAAAAAAAATTAAAGATAAAAATAATTTAATTAAAAATTTTTTTTTATTTTTATTTTATTTATTAATCACAATTACAAATTTCCCTTTAAACAAAATAATGGTATTTTCCCAGAACATCACGTCAATTACTTTCCTTTGCAAATGTCAGTCATATACAATTAAAGCGATTCGCGTCAGTTTATAATATTTTATAATTTATAAATAAAAATTTTTGTTTTCTTGCTTGTTTTCTTTTTCTACATCAAGAAATCGGTCATTTTTAACAATTAGTTTTTGTAAATGCATAGTACCACATCAAATGTAAAAACAAAAAAAAATGACAGTCATTGGCGTTAGCAACCAAAACTGAAATTCATGACGCTAGCGTCAAAAAGTATTGTAATTCATGAATTTACCAAATTAGATGCAAATTACATTCTAGGAAATTGACTAGCTCAATAATGCACTGAATTATTTAAAATGTAAGTACAAATAGACTGATTGGAAGGGATGTGTGCCTAATATCTGTATAATAAGACTTAGTTTAATAACTATAAGTACCTTAACTTTAATTTAATTTAGATTTTAACTAGTTTACCACAAGTGACTTTTTATACTCATAATTTAATTAAACTCACATATTACAAATATTTCTTGAATTTCTATAGAACAGAATAATGTTTACTAGCATTTGATTTTATACTAAACTAGACTCTTAGCATTTCATTACTTGTTATAATAGTTTCATTAATAAAGTTCTAAACCTAATGGAGATTACTAATTACCTTTCATTTTAACCAATATTTTTTATTTCTCACTCTGTTTTATTTTACCCTTTTTAAATCGTATCGATTTTCAGAGATTTCTTCTTTAAAACTAAAATGCCTTGCAGTTCTTAAATTAATTGTTAAATATGAAAAATCAATTTATGGTTATTTTTTTAAAATAAAAAACAGTATAACTGAGTAAAATAATACAATTTTTTAGAGAGAAATCAAAAAGATTAAGTGCTAGAATATTTCAAAAATAATTAAGAAGATATTTTGCTTCTCGTTCATAATTTTAAATTCAAATTATTCGAAACGCAATATTTAAAATTAATTTTTTTTTAATATTTTCATCTATCTAAAAAATAATATAAATTTTTTAATCTTACCTTAAATTTTTTTTTGAATTTATTTTTAAATGACATAACCGCATTTTTGGTATTTCCTCTTTTTTTACCGTTTTGTTTCAAATCTTCTTTTTTCATATTCTTCTTTTTCAATAATTGTCCAAATATTCTTATTCAATTGAGTTCCATAATTCACAATTTTTATCTTCACAATAAAAAGTATTGTTTCAATTCCATTTTATTTTTAAACACAAAATGGTACAAGAGGTGATCCTAAAAATATGCAAAATAAACTAACATTAGAAAAAATTTAACAAGCCTAAACATATGCAACCTATGGTTAATATAACCATAGGTTAAATGTGCAAATTTTATTCTGATCCTGATGAGTAGAAATTATTCATTATTGAAATTTGCTGCTACTTAAAGGTATTAAAAAATTTAATTTTCTTTTCATTTTCCATTCCTTTTTTATTTTTGTTTAATTATTTTAAACACCAATTTTTGCTCTGAATTCTAATTTAAAAATTATTAATTTGAAAGTTTTGTTTTTTGAAACATTTCGGGCTAAGAATACTATGAATATTTGATTGAAAATTTGAAAAAAATTTTAAAATTACAAAAAGTTTTTGTAATACTTCTATAATTCAATAGAGGTTGTTTTGACTCATTTGTGCAAAAAATAAGAAAAAAAATTAATTTTCCTCAAATTAGTGAACGACCAAAGACATTTTTCGATGTTAAAATTTTTAAAAAATTGAGTCGTTATGCTTTTTATTTTGTAGTTCAGAAATATATAAGAAAATTAAAATTTTCTGGCACTGGCACTGGACAGACTGACACTGGACAACACAAAACAAAAAAATTTAATTATTTTAACAAAAAAAAAATAAATTTTGTTTTGAAAGCCATTTTTAAAATTGTGGTCTAGGAACAAATATAGTACATACGTTTTGAGGCACATATACGGTGAACGAATTTTTTTTACATACAAAATTCTTATTGTAGCAAAGTGCAAAGTTTTTGCTTTGATACATCAATAAATCGATACATGACCCTTTGCACTAACCAGTGATAACCATTATGCCATTTTTATTTTAAAGAAGTTTTATAGTTTTATTAATGTTGACTACTGATATACTTTTACTCTCTTTAATAAAAACATTTTTGAGCAAAGTTTTTGTTTGCAGTACTCAACTATCATCATTTAACTAAAACAAAAATAACTAGTAAAATTCAATATTAAATACAATATTAACTATTATTAACAACGAAATAATGTACATACATACATATAAAAATTTTCATAAGGATTCTATCTAAATATGTACATATATTTTTATATAATTACTGTTATATTCCTGTCAATAATCTTGATGAATAATCTAAATATCAAAATTACAAAATATGACGTAAGCACACTTGAGAAAAAAAAATTAAAATAAACATTATTTTTAATTTTGATTAAAAAATTAAATACCATCACAGACAATTCGACGATATAATTTTAATGAAAAAAATTTTCCAAACATATATACATATATATACATGCATATACCGTACAGATAACAGATCTGTGTATATAGTAAAAATGATAAAATTAATAACGATAAAAAATATTTTTCTTTTACACCAAAACAATTATTTTTTACATTGAAAACTTTTAGTTAACTAATAAAATTTGCACTGGACACAAGTGATATTAAAAATCGATTATTTTTTAAATGAGTAACAAATTATTTATTATTAGAATTTGATATAATGCAATAGAATTATTAAAGTACTTGTACAACAATTTAAGTGAGTCAATTTTTATAGCTTAAGTGTTTTATTTATTTATACTCGTAGTAAGAAAGAATTGTAATATTATTATTAATTGTAGTGAATTTAATTTATTTTGATTTTTTAAAAATTTTTAATAAACTAGTTTAAATCGATCCTTATATTTTTGTATAGTTGCCTGAATTACTCCGTAGTAGTTCAGAATAAACTGTTTTCTATGAAAATATTTTTATACACTACAACAATGCTTATAAATTGATATGTTAAATATTTGACATTCATTTTCGATATAAAAATATAAAGACATCTATCGGAATAAATATTTATACGTAATTAATCCTCTCAATTACTTCTATGCTACGTCCTACGCGAGGAGTGGTAGGTATTTCGAAAAATCAAAAAATTATTTACTGTTAATAAATATATAAATAAATGTTTTAAATAAATAAATAGCAGCTATACTGTCATAAAAATTATTTAGTTATGCGGTATAAACACAACTAACTATATTTATTTAATTATCAAGATCGATACTATCTCTAACTTTGGTTTATTCAGCCAAACCATTCAAAAATGTAAGGAGAAGCATACAAAATTGAATTTTTTATATACTCGAATTCTAAATTTTTGCAATAATTGTTTCTTAAATTGTATAACATAAAATTTATGTACATAATATTATATAAATAGATACAGAAATTAGAAATTTTTTATCTGCATTTCCAATAAAGAGCAATTTTTTCTAAAACATAAACATAACGAAAACAACATAAAAACCACTTAATGAAGTTTAATTACGTGAGTAAATGTCAACAATGCCATAATAAGTGGGCACTTTTTTTAACTTATTAGCCTAATAATTTTTTAGAAAATATTTTTATGAATTGTTCTCGATTTAAAGAGAGCCGCTGGGGGCGGTTATCTTAATTACATATATGTCTATATTCTAATGGTGTCATTACAGCTACAATGTAGCTATAATGTGTTGCTACATTATGATAACTTTGAGACAATTTTAATACATATTCTCTTTTTAAATACATAAAAAAAATTTCGTTAATTTTTTCTAAATGTAAATTGTTGCCAAAATCAAGCATTTTCTCTTTAATCATAATTATTTTTTAATGCTGTCACTATGCTAACGTGATAACAAAATGACGTTTCAATAATTAAATTGATCCTTGATTTTGAGGAAATTCGTATAAGAAATCATGAAAAAGGAAAAGCTTACAAATTTTTATTTTTTTTTTGCATATGCGTTGTGTCAATTATTCAATTATATGATCATTATTAAAATAAATTTATGTATATACCATTCGTCTAGACGTACTTTATGGCGAAATAATAAGAGATTTTTTTTAATAAAAAGTAAATTGAAAAAAAAAATATTCCTTAATAATACATTATTATTTTTTTTATTTTAAATACAAATTATTATGGAAACAAATCATTCT